CTGTGTGTGGTACCTCCACAAAGTCTTATTAAACAACGTTTCTTTCTAGGTGTCCAGTCAGAGGCCCAGTTGGTGGAGTCTGGCGGGGATGTGAGAAGACCTGGAGACTCCCTCCGCCTCTCCTGCCAAGCCTCTGGATTCACCTTCAGCGACTATGGCATGAACTGGGGGAGACAATATCCAGGGAAAGGACTGGAATGGGTGGCATCCATATGGCCTGATTCCAGCACTGTTTCCTACTCAGACAAAGTCAAGGGACGCTTCACCATCTCCAGGGATGATTCCCGCAGCCAGCTCTATCTGCAAATGAACAACCTCGAGCCAGAGGACATGGGACATTATTACTGTGTGAGACACAGTGGGAGGAAGTGAATATGAAGCCAAGCAAAAACTGCCTGTTCCTGAGAGGAGCTCTGCATGTTCATCCATGAGCCACAGTTTGAATCAGTACACTAAATTTGTGAAGAATCATCCAAAAAAAAAAAAATCATAAAAAGCTACTCTCCTAAAAAGGACACACAATCACATAAAAAGACAGAGCTGGAACACAGAGTCCAGAATTAATGCTAAACCTTTTCTTACCTTCTGATAATATTTTCTGTGAGCAGAACTAGAGGAAAGGAAGTCAATCTGAAAACCAAACGTAAAACCTCCTTTGTTCAGAGCTGCTATGCAAGTTGATTCATCTGCACTTCTGGATTATGTACATTTCACAGATAATATAGGATAAATCTCCTCAGGGTACCTTTAAGCTGGTAAGCAGGACACGTTGGCAGTGAAAAGCAAATATGTCATTTGAGGGAAAGACACAATTAAAAGGGGGTGAGCAGGACACAATGGCATTGAAAAGCAAATATGTTTATTTGAGGTGAGGACAGGGCTAAAGGGGGGTGGGGGGACAGGAGAATGTCCCTAGTTATATACTTGTGAAAATGAGGAGATACAAATAGTGGGGAAGAGCAAGAAGACATTGGCATTGAGGGAGGCCAGTAGGGAGGACCACGGAGGGAACAGGGGACCGGAAAGAACAAAGAGGCCAAATTTCATGAACAAAGTTAAATGCTTAGACAATCATTGTTTGTCTTCTTTCTGCTTCGAGTTCTGCTTCTATTCGAAAGGAAATCACACACAGGGATAGGAAGAGACACCGTCCCTTTCTTTTTTTTCTCTGAGTGAACAATTTTGCTTCCCTCAGATAGCCGGATTTTTGCATTTTTGGGGGCTGGTGGATTTTGTTGGTTCGTTTTCATGTTTATCTGTGTGAGAAGGAAATCAAATTCTCCCCCCTCCCCCATGTCAGCAGGAAGTCAAAGCTTCCCATTTGTCTCACCCTACCACTGTCAATCTTAAACAGCAATCAAAGCATGTGGATAAATTATAGTACGAATGGGCTCACCCAAAAAGATTAAGACACAACAGAAAGAATCAAGAGTCCTCCACCCTAGACCAAAATGGAATAACTAAAGACCTGGCAGGAAGGGCCAACATTCCTTAAACCCCAAAAAAACTAATCATAAAAATATTTCTTCCGGAAGAGATCTACATTCCAATTAGACAATACCAGATAAGGAAAAGACAGGAAACCCCAGCTCAGTACAGTTCTCCCCTCAAATACCTGGATTTTTGCGTTAAGGGGGCTGGTGGATTTTTTTAGTTTGTTTCCATGTTTGTCGGCTAAACTGCAGCCAAACTTTTCGGATGTACTGTAGTAAATGAGAAAAACAAGTAGGAGCACTCTTGAAAAAGAGGATCCCCAAAGGATGGAGAGAGAGATTTATCTGGGAGAAGTGCATATTTAAAAGTAATTCATTAATTTATTAAACTACGTATTAAATAAAAAAGAGAATGATTTGTATTACATCTCACACTACTGAAAATCACAGTCATCCAGGGAAAATAAAGGAGAGGTGATAAAGTAAGGATTATTCTCACGTTCAAAATAACAAAACAGATGCATGAGGGGGAATCTTGAAAATCTAAATAGCTCTCATGCTCATTTTCTATCAGAAAATCTAGAATGAAGGAAAAACAGGGCCGCATTGCTAAACTCTGCTAAAGCGGACCTGATCTCCTTCGCGCAGAACAGAACAGTGTTGCCCAGTTCTCCCAAGGGAGTCCTGATCTCCTTCACACTATAAGGCCTGACGATTCCATTAGAAGGATCAAAATGAGAGGTTTGTGTTCTCCAAACCATCCAGACCAGTCACTTTCCAAGACTATTTCGGATGAGGAAATCAATGAGTATCTTTGCTTTCTCACTACACCTGCTCTGATCTTCTGGAGCTGAGTCACGTCTTCCCAGACTCACTTCCTCTCTTGCAATAGGAGCATCTCCCTGGAGAACCAGGCCTGCTTTGGCTCATCCTGCACACCAGGGGGCAGCATTGTCCCACAGAATCCCATGAGCCCTGGCGGATGGGGCAGGGGAAAAAAACAGGATCTCCTGATGAGGTTTCAAGTCTGCGGCTCATTATTCTCTTGCTTGGTGGCTTGAAAATTCATAGAGATGGTCCCATGTCAGTTCCGCTCCTCAAGAAGCTACTTTTCTCTCCACAAAACCAAGGCAGGGTTCACTATAGTCCTCCTTTCATGACCATAAAGCTAACTGAATTTTCAGGAAACCACAAGGGGACCTATTCAACTTTTTTGGAGAAAGTGTTTGGTCCTAAAATAATTTCTGGGTTTTACTTTGTGACTTGCAATTTGCAGTCCTTGTTCTTAGGAAATTATTCTTGGTTGTGTAGCCTGCATCAGATTAACTTTGTTGGCTTTAACAAACCATGGTAACTTACAATAAAGGGTGAACTGTCATATGCTCTCCCCCTTTGTCTCTAATGTGGCTATTAAATAACTCTGCATGGGTGTCTGTGCACGTTAGTTTTGAGTTTTGATTCTAGAAACACTTTGCAGAGTTGGAGCTTTTGCAAAAAAAAAAAAAAAAACTTCCTCCCTTGAAAGTCTGAATCTGCTTCTAGAGCACTTTGAACATATCATCTTGATGGGTTTATGATTTGTTCATCATCTAAAAATTATGTGTGTAATATAGGCTCAAGGAAATCTACAAATTCAAACCACAGAGTAGAATTTTGATCCCCAAACTATATAAATTCAGGAGTAGTTTCCCAGTAATATTAGGTATATGTCCTTTAATGTTTATGTATGTATGTATGTATGTATGTATGTATGTATGTATGTATGAAATTTTTCCATGCCCATCTCATCGAAAAGTGACTCTGGGTGGTTTACAAAGGGGATAAAATCATTTAAAATACAATATAAAAACAATATTACATTTAATATTATGGCTGGTGTGGGTCTTCCGGGCTGTATGGCCATGGTCTTGAAGTCTTGTTTCCTAACGTTTCACCAGCACCTGTGACCGGCATCTTCAGAGTGCAAGAGCACAGACAGGAGCAGTTCTCTCTGTGCCCAAGGTGAAGTGACCCTTCTGTGGGTATTTATATTTATAGAGATCTGTAATGCCTTCGACATTAAATTTAATAAATCAATTCTAAGAATGATAGAGTTGGAGAATAACTCAGGGGTGACATCAGGGCACCAGCCAGCCCCAGGATTGAAAAAAACTCCTATTGCCCCCTGCCAGAGCCAGGTCTTAAATCCTTTCCAGAAAACCGGGAGGGTACGGCCCCACCGTGTCACTGAGGGGAGAATATTCCAAAATTTGGGGGCAATGGCACAGTAGGCTCTCCTCCTGGGCCCTGCCAGCCAATATTTTCTCGCTGACGGGGTCCGCAACATGCCCTCGCTGCCTGTCTGGGTGGGACGAGTTGATGTGATGGGGGTGTGATGGTCCTTCATGTAACCTGGACCCATGCCATGTAGGCCCTTGAAGGTGATAACCAACACCATGAAGTGGACCCAGAAGCAAATGGGCACCCAATGCAGCTCCCACAGCAAAGGTGTTTTATGAGCCATCCTGGGGGACCCAAGATTATTCGTGCAGCTGCATTTTGACCAACCTGTAGCTCCTGGATACTCTTCATTGCAAGAGTCTAATGGAGAGATGACAAGGGATGAGTGACTGAATGGAGAGCCTCCCGCTTCAGAAAGGAGCAGAACTGGCACACCACACGAAGGTGAGTGATGACCCCCCTGGCCATGACTGCTACCTGCTCTTCAAGCAGGAGTCGTGAGTCCAGGAGGACCCCCAGAATACAGACTGGCTCTGTCTGGGGCAGTGCAACCCCGTCCAAAAGCAGATGATAAATTCCCGGATACAGAGCAACCTCCAAAAGAAAATTAGTGCTTCGCATACACCTTCAGGATTAAAAAAAATCTGCCTCAACTGGTGTTGAGCATCAGAAAAGATGTCTAAAATATAGGTTGAAGGAACTCTAGATGGTAAAAGCAGTGCATG